TGGATGGATGGATGGATGGATGATGCACCTACCCTCAGACTACTGGCAGGACCATGGACTGTGTTACTTCCTCCCCACGTCATACCGTCAGTCATTACAACACAGGTTATAGGAACATTGGGTCTCTTTTGGAGCTTGACGATTTTATCCGCAGCACATTTTAAGGCCAGATCGGTTCGTGTTGATCCACCGGTGTACCTTAGAGAGTCACAGTACTTCGGACAAAAATATAAAAAGAAAAACGATTGCTTCGATATTCTAGCTTTGTGTGACCTGTTAATTTGTGTCACACACTCTCCGCCCTATTTGCGGCTCATATTGATAGCAGACGTCTTCGTCTATCCATCACCAACACCCGGCACCACCATCATCATCACCGACAATATCACCATCATAATCACCATCACCACCACCATCACTATCACCATCACCACCACCATCACTATCACCATCACCATCACCATCACCATCATCATCATCATCATCATCATCACCATCATCATCACCATCATCATCATCATCATCATCACCATCATCACCATCATCATCACCATCATCACCATCATCATCATCATCATCACCATCATCACCATCATCACCATCATCATCATCATCACCATCGTCACCATCATCACCATCATCATCATCATCATCATCATCATCATCATCCTTCTCAACAACTGCTCCGAAAGTCTGGAACACTTTACCAGTGATAATGTTTAACTCTTTAAAAACAGATTCGAAACGTTTCTTTTCAATTCAGCATATAACTGTACTTAATTTTTATTATTGTTATCCTTATTTTATTAATCAGAAAAACTAACACAGATAGATTTCGACGTTTTGATGACATCCTGTCTTTATTATTAAGAAACTAACTGAAAAATATTTAGTCTTTATTTTATTTGTGCATTTTAACCTATATTTCAATCTTGAACAATTTCTTTAAAATAATTTTTCCCATTTTCTATTGACTGCATATAATATTATTATCAAGCGCTCTTAAATATTGTATAGCACGAGCGCTATATAAAGTTTAGTAGCTATTATTATCATTAATCATTGTTACATACTTTTTTCAAGCTTTCTTTGTTCTTCTTGGCGCTCTCATTCCAGTCCAAGACCTGTTGGCATTTTTCATCGTAGGTCACGATGCCAATCCTTGTACCGTCAGTGAAGTCAAAACGATCCATGAAGCTTTTGATAAATTTCTGGGTTTGTCTAAACCCTTTTAATTTGACACTCCCAGATACGTCAATGACAAGTACAACATCGGCGACGGTTTTGCAACTCGCTACTTCTATACAAACAGAAAAGATTATGGGCATATAATTTGTTCTATGTCATGGTTGTGTGCTTGTGAAAGCGGAAAACACGTCGAAAATATTCGTGTTTAAGGTATAGGAGGGTTACATCAATTGAAGTACATGACCAAGGGTAGGGGTAGAATATCCCATGCTTAAGGTATGGAAAAGTTACATCAATTGAAGAACATGACCAAGGGTAGGGGTAGAATATCCCATGCTGAAGGTATGGAAAAGTTACATCAATTGAAGAACATGACCAAGGGTAGGGGTAGAATATCCCATGCTTACGGTATGGAAGGGTTACAGCATTTGGAGCACATGGCCAAATTACTAAATAAAATGGAGCTCTGGAATACACAAAAATATGGCTCTCACCTTCTTCTTCTTGCTCCTTTTCAGGTGCAGCACCTACGGCAACTTCTTCTTCTTCTTCTTCCATTTCTTCTTCTGGGGCACTTCCAACTGGTGCACCTGCGAGAACGGCAGGAACCGAAGTTTCAATCTGTCGTAAAGAAACAACAAATCTTATTGACTATCCTGGAACAACCTCTGGGCTGATCAAAGTCAGGGCACGGCTGACTCTCAGATCGAATTGGAATTTAGCGTGTAACTTTTACGGAGGGATAAAAACGGAGAGCCCTTAATGCGGAGCAATTACACGAAGCAATTTTCTCTGCAAATTGTCTTGCAAGAGCGTTGCGACACAAGTTGCAAGAGAGTGTCTACACGGTGCAAGGGAGACGTAATCTTAGCAAAAAAGTAGAAACGAATTATACTTTTGGCAACAATTGCTGCACTTTTCTCGCAACATTTTTCAAATTGCGCTGTAGGTTACACGCTGCAATGATCCATGCCACTTGTGTCGCAACGCCGTTGCGAGACAAGTTGGAGAGAAAACTGCTCCGTGTAAAATAATTTTTGTGCCTTTAGAAAAACTCTTGAATCAACAAAATCATAAGAGAGCACTGACAAGCTCTACTCAGCAACATGTGATGCCAAGTTCTTATCTAACCCTCCCTTCCTTCGTTTATAACGAACAAACGGCCTCACCCTCCAGTACCTTATCTATAGCAACTTTATTTACCGTATAAAAAAAGGGTCGATATTGGGAACCAATACAATTGCTGCCATCAGGAGCGATTAGTGTAGCCTGAGTTATTGGTCCAGAACACTTGGACACGTCTTCAAGAGGATTCCTGTGTTTGTCATGAGAAGATCATAAATGATTATCAATCGCAGGCATGTAATCCATGGAGGTTTAAAGTAGGGATATGGTTGTAATAGATTGTGTGTTGTGACTGGGATATGGATTGGATGTGACTGGAATGAATTGGATGTGACTGGGATGGATTGGATGTGACTGAGATAGATTGGATGTGACTGAGATGGATTGGATGTGACTGATGAGATGGATTAGATGTGACTGGAATGGATTGGATGTGACTGGGATGGATTGGATGTGACTGAGATGGATTGGATGTGACTGAGATGGATTGGATGTGACTGAGATGGATTGGATGTGACTGAGATGGATTGGATGTGACTGGAATGGATTGGATGTGACTGAGATGGATTGGATGTGACTGGGATGGATTGGATGTGACTGAGATGGATTGGATGTGACTGGGATGGATTGGATGTGACTGAGATGGATTGGATATGACTGACATGGATTGGATGTGACTGAGATGGATTGGATGTGACTG